AAAATAAATATAATCATAAGACAAGCACCAATTCCCACACAACCTGGAGCGCTTACCGGTCCATTCATTTATTTCAAATAAATATAATGATAAGACAAGCACCATTTCTCACACATTCTTAAGTGCATACTTGTCGCTCTAATTATTTATAGTAAATATAATAATAAGGCAAGCGCTAATCCCCACTCAACCTAAAGTGCTAACTGGCCGCTTTAATAATTCATAATAGGTATAATGACAAGACAACCGCTAATCCCAACACAAGCCAGGACGCCTCCTGGCTGCTTTAATTATTTATAATAAATAAAGTAATAAGAGAAGTGCCAATTATCACACAACCCGGGACGCTTCCTGGCCACTTTTACTTTTATAATCAAATCAAGTGAAACGACAAGTGCCAATTCCTACACAACCCGGGACGCTTATTAGTCACTGTCATAATCAATAAAAATTATTAAGTAACAACGCGAGTGCTTATTACCTGTTTATCTAGGTTACTCACTGGTCACCCTGGTTGCGCTTAGTTTGTGCTCGAATTATTATTTAATGCTTTTTAATAATAATTATTGCTACTAGTAAGCGCAGTGGCTTACGTGCTGATTGTCGTTTGCTGTATCACTTTAGTTATTTCAAAATAAGTATGCGACCAGTAAGCACTTTAGGTTGTTTGGGGTTTGGCGCTTGTCTTAGTATTATACTTGTTATAAATAATTAAAGCTACTTGTAAGCGCTTCGGGTTGCTTGGGGATTGGCGCTTGTCGAATTTTTTTATTTAATATAATTAATTGAAATGGCGTAATACTTTATAGCTTTAGTGTTTAAGAAGCATTGATATTATACATCACTTGATTCTTATAAGGTTTAAACTTCCGTGACAACTGTTATTAGTGATTGACGAGTTTAATCTTTTGACGTTACAAGAAGAGGAGAAAGTAGGTGAAAAGCAGCAGCTGCAGTAGTTCACTCTCATTGCTTGTCTTGTACAATACACTATACTTTACTTCTTTTCGATTCTTGTTCGACAGTGTGTCCCGTTGACCACTTATTACAAACGCTACATTTTTATTTCTCCGTCTAGTTTCATCATTACTAGTAGATTGTCGTTTGTTTACAAACAAATTATTAGAGTATTATTATTTAGCTTAATACTTTCGTTAACAGTGTGATTTCGTTATTTAGTAATAATTTACACGTTAAGACAAGCAAAGCCTAATAATGTGATTCTGAAATTAAAGTACTAAAAATAATACTCAGTAGAGTACTTTTATTAACACACACATGTATATATATACGTATATACAGTTATTTTATTCGCTCTCTTTTCCTACCAAGTCAACGCGATATCGGCCTACCCCCCTACTTAAATAGTAATATCTCAGCAAATTTTTCTGTCGGGGACTGTGTAACTTTTTTCTTTACGTTTCGTTTTCCATACATTTGACAAATAATTACGCTAAAACATAGATTTTTTTTCTTACTTCTAGCACGCATTTATGTTTCATATATTCTTACGTCATACTTAATTGTATAATAATCATAAACGTAGTTTTACATTACGAACGCAAACTTAAAGCAGAAGTGTATATCTCATTGATTTTAAAATTTTTTGTTTAGGTATTATTAATATTATCTTTATATATTTTTCTGTTTGTCTTTTGTTAACTGTATATAATGTCTACACAATTTTTTCTAGGAATCAGAAAGCAATTCAACTCAAGTTACGTTAATAGATATTGACGTTGATGCTGCAGGTTCATTTAGTTGCGAGGTGTCGGTTGATGCACCTTTATTTCAAACAGCAGTTGTATCTGGATCTATGAATGTTGTGGGTAAGTCTTACTCTAAATTTGTAAGTTCATAGAATTTAAAAGATTGCAGTTTTAAAACCTATCGACTGTTAAACATGTTTCTTATATTTTATAAGATCTTGATAATATAGAATATTATGCAATAAAGTACAATACTATAGTTATTTGATCGCACATTTTTCTACCAATTGCGATGGTGACGTTTTGTTATATTATTAATGATTTTTCATTACTCTTATACCTGCTTTTTATTATATTTTGGCAAAACTACAATAGACTTTGTAAATTATTACTTTTTCAAAGTACAAATAAGTTAACAAAAATATTTGTCTAACTGATACGTAGCTTTTACAGCAGAGATGATGAATTCTTTTTTGTTGAAAGCAACTCCTTGAAAAAAGTATGTGGTAGTATAAACATATTATTTAGTGTAGATTTAAGATGTGTAGCTTTTTCATTTGATCCAACTTTTAAGACTTTATACTTATTTGTGTTAGCGTATTACACATTTGAATAAAGTGTTTGTCTTAGGTGTTAAGAAACAATTGGTAATTTTACATGATTTACGTTGAAGAGATGTTTTTCTACGTAAGACCAGTGAATCTCAGACATTCAATAGTATGTGCCAGCAGTAAGCTTGGTCAAAAATACTCATTGATGTAAGAAACATACGTTAGTAGTACTATTTTATGGAAAATTTTTCTCGACATCATTAATACTTTTTTCAGCAAAGTTCTTTATGACTTACTCTGCTAAGTAGTAAGCTACAAAAAATCAAGATGTATAACGCTTGTCTTGTAATTTTCTACGCAATTGTATAAGTAAAAAAAAGTTTCGTTTTTTACTGTAGGTACATGGTAAGATAAGGACGCATCACAGACGCACAGTGTGGAGAAGTAAAAAAAATTGTAGAGAGAGAGACAGAGATAGAGAGAGTAAGCACATAAAAGTGAAGGCAAAGTTTGTGTAAAGTGTATGGATAAAATGTAGATGATGAGGCAGCAGTATATGTCATGCTGTCTGCATGGTACACAAAATTCGTCATTCTACGGAAATTGGCATATTTTAAGGGTCATAATGGACAAGAAACATAGCAGCGTTGCCGTTAGTAGTTGTTGCAACACTTTGGCCCGTTACAAAAAACCCTCACCTACATAGGAGCATTCCATAATGAGCGAAGACGAGGCATGCGGGGTGGGGGATATGATCCCACCACGGTTAGGGCCCCTCCCAACTTTAAGCGTGGAGAGAGGGCTTCCCCACTTTTGAGTTACTAGATAGGTTAAAAATTTTCCCTCTTGTTCAGTATGGATATTCTTTTTATAACGTTAATAGGTTTCTCCAATATAAAGGGTCCAAAATATATTTTAATTTTTTTCACGACATTAAAATAAAATGTGATTTATAAGGATGTGGTGTGAATTTTAGGTAAGTAACACCAAAAGTACATACGTTCATTAATTTATTTTTGAATTCAAAGTCTCTACAAGTGCAATTGTAGAAAATGACGCAATATTGTTTATAAAATTGCATACGCATTCTTTTGTTAAATATTCGCTTTCCGTCGTATCTGTAGACACGACTTTTTTATACACACTCTCTAAATCTGAATTATTCATATCTCTTACGATTTTCTTTACAATATCGAGTCTATAATAATCGATTTGCACTTCATACATATTACTACTTTTTTCTAAAATACAATCTACAGATTTCCGCACTACAGTAGGCATCAAATCCGACAAATCACTCAATACACGTTAATTACAATCAATACATTTGACAATAAATTCGCTTAAATGAACAAAGGTCACCTTTTTTTGAACTAAATTACGACGATATTGCTTTGCGACACTACCACTCAAACCTTGTTTTCATCCTTCTTCAAGCTCAATAGCCTTGTCGTTATAACTTACAGTAAACTTTACAAACCAGTTGGAGCCATAAATTTTAATGTCCTGCAAGTTACTGTCGTTCGTGGTAAAATACTCCTTAATGTCTGTAAACGCCGATTTTAATTCGTTCCAATCTGAAATTTTGAAAGGAATCCCTTCAAAATCTGTGCCTAATAGACGAACTACAGGTTCCTAATCGTTGTCAAGTAATTTCTTATAATCCAGACCAGCTATGACTTTTTTGCCAAATGATTTATTCAATCCATAAAGATTGCAAAAAATCTGTGAAGGTGACTGTTGATACTGCTTTGCGCTTGAGAGATTGATTGCTACCGACGCCCCAACTCTCTTTTTCTGGAACTCCATTTTTCTGTTTAATTGTATTGACGATATGACGAGCAGGCAGAAACTAACGACTAATCCGACTTTTTTATACTAGTTGTAGCTCGAAAGAGACAGTGTGAAAAATGTTTTGAGGTGGTAAGTCACGTTTCAGCATGAAAAATTGCGTCAAAAGCACATTCAGGATAACGTTAATCAAAACAAATATGATCGTGTATGGCACGCGTATAAAAAAAAGCTGCGTATGCAATTTTTTACAAACTATGAACATTCAGAGGTAGGATCGCAAAACGCTGACATCGTTCATTTTTGAAATTCATACTAATGTATCATTAGTATCTGTCACTAGATGTTTAAGAAAGTGCAAACTACAAGTATATTCATGGATAAACTTATATCAAAGTCATTTTACTGCAACTTTTTTGTATACATTTTACCAGACAACCGCTGCCGACTGACACTGAGCTTCTCAAATTTTTTGCTACATTTCAATGACATAAAACGTCTGGCAATTTCATCATTTTTTTTAAATCAGTGGAAAAATTGTCGAGAAATTTTTGAAAACCTAAGCCGTTGCTCATGTAAAACAAAAAAATCAAACAAAACTGACCACTTACATTTGAAGATATGCTTCGTAACTGTTTGACATTCCAACGCAGTTTCACAATTTTTACGAAATCAATTAATTTGCTGCGGTACATAAGGTTGAATACCATAGCTATCAAAATATAAACCATTGGAATGTGCATCAACGTATATAGCAACCCAATGCATACCTGGTTTTGTGTGATCGTCAGTGTTAAAAATGAGAGCTGTTGGTTTCGTCCACACCCATGGGATCTGATCAGCTGGGAACGCACCGGTGGTATGCGTTGTGATTTGTGACAAGATCTGCAGTATATGTAGGCAGTTCATTACGTTCACAGAGCCAAGATTTCAGTTTATAACCGTTATTTAAGGGACATTGATATTTTTGATGATTTGGTTTTAATGCGTGATGCATACAATACACTACCGATCATAAATCTTTTAAAGGTGAACAGTCAATATAGTATTCTAAATTTATTACTTGACAAAGCGCTACTTCACGTCAATCGTACCACTTTTTGCAACCTCTGACATAAAATTTTCTCGCCCTTCTACTAATATCATTCAAAATTTAAAAAATTGCTTTTAAAGGTACTTTACCCTTAAAGAAATCAAGTATATGATAATGCCAGGACAACCAATTATTTTGTCGTTGCGCCTCCTTACTCAATTTTTTAAAACGACAAGAAGGTATCACTACCCAATGTGCGGAAAAGTCATTGTTCAGAGCAACGATAGCAACTTCTTTTGGTACCATTATGTTTTTTTTCACTTTGAAATACTGAATGTCGACTACGAGCTCCATTGCAATTTATGGATGATCGAGCGAACCAGCAGCAACTAACCCAAAATACGATTGACGTGTCTGAGTAGTGAGTGTAAATATAATATATGTAGTTAGCGGCGCCATCTAACTGCTAAAGTCGACCATGATTTGACATACACTATACAATGGACAGTCAAAGTTAGAGTGGCAAATCAAACGTCCAATCTAACACTGCCGTGTTTACTTAGGTTCCAATAAGAACATTCGTTGGCCGATAAATCTGGTGTTCAATCAAAAGCAAAGAAACAGTCACCGTTAAGATAAGATTCGCGATTAATGTGGTTTCCTCCATTGAGAAAGTGAACGCCCGTGCCCAAAAACAAGGTATGATAAGCATCTACGTATAAATTATTTGTTTTAAAGTCCGGCTATAATGGTTTGAAAGGAACTTGAGCACCGTCAATGCTCTAATGAAGTCAATTTATATTAAAATGATGAAAATTAAACGGATTCATACAACAATTGCCATTATCAGCTTGATTTTTCACAAAACCAACGATTATCTGCTTAGATAACTGGCCCAAAATAATATTATCTAAAGTTTCGCCATGAATCATACTATGCATCTTCACAGCTTTTACTTCGACACGCGTAAGTAAATATTTTGCTGTACTCTTTGACAGAGCTTTGGTATGGGCTAATAAAAAAGATGGGCTTATTTTAACGCGTCTCACTAAAAGATTGGCTTCTTCGATACGAATGGACACCAAGTTTAAAGTGTCTATGAGACAAAATGCATGACGAGATCTTACTAATCGCATTTTTACCTTGACGCTATTGATAAGTAATTCTTCCTAATTGCATATTTCGCATTGAAGACGACCAATCAGATCAATTGACTTCTTTGCTGGTATTAGTGTACGTCGCTTGACTAGGCCCGAGTTGGTATCCAACTCATCGTCTATCTTTGTTGCCGTATCATCACACCATAATGCACTCGTTAAATAGAATGATTTTGCCGCAGGACCGCAATTCAATAAAGTTTTCAAATACGCTCTGTAAGCGTACGCGTTGTTAGGAGGTGACACATATTTCTCATTAAAAAACACAGCAACTTGATTGAACAACGAATGCATAAAATTATTGATTGGTCACGTCTTTGAGATCTTAGATGCTACGTCAGTATTTCATTCTTCATCTTCATTGACGGCCAACTTGACCACAGGACTGAGAATCGTATGTGCGAGATCGATGTATTCGTCACCATTACGTGGTACGACAAATTCGATCGGTGAATCATCCGTGAGCGATGATATCGGCTTGTATTAAATTCAGTGCGATCCCTCGATAGTTTTTTGAGTCGGTGTAGTATCAAACAAAAGAAGCTCAGACTTTAAGCACTCGCATAAAAGACTATGTAAAAAATTTTT